GATTTCGAGAAGATAGCAAAACACATGTGCAATTACAAAGTGGAGGATGGAAGGCTAGTTATAGAGCGTGATGACCTAATCCAATGGGAAACAAGCAGCAACAATGAGCTCCACAAGTTCTTCAAGCATGTCTGCACTTTGCCACATGTTCAAGCTCTTGCCGACTCAAATCACAATTTGGATCTTTTGCCGACAGATAGCAATGCGGTACTGAAGAAATTCAAGACAACATTACAGAAGTTGTTTGGATGGGGTTTGGTCTTATGTGTCTGAAGACTATGGAAGAAATAGGTCAACTCTACACAAAGGGAAGCAAGAAACTTGGTCTTGCAAAACATCAGATGCCACTTTTTTCAGATGAGAGGGATCAAGAGCAGCAAGGCGATACAACTGATATCAGTCAAGTGGTCAACAGGTTGAGGATGGAACCGCCAAAATGCCCCCACATTGTCAAAGTGGACTTGGTAATTGTTTGTGGTGACCAATTCAATAGAACTATGGACCAACATAAGCGTAGAGCTAATAAAGTCCACCAAATAGAAAAACTATAACAATTGCTGTTAAGCTGTCAACTGTTTATACATTTATTATTAGAAATAAAAATTATAGCATTTGGCCTCTTCAGTCCTTGGTGAGTTGGTCTTATTTATTCAATCATTCTGCAGGCCACAGGCGCAGAAAAAGTTGGGAAAAACATGCAAGGGCGCAAAAAGTTGTCCCCCCCCTCAAAAAAAACAGGGGCGGCATTGTCCGATTTTCCAGTCTGTGCTGCAGCTACATATGCAGTAGGTCTGTATTAATATAACAATTAATTATATTATCAACATTTTCACAAAAGTTTGTTTAATTAAGAAATACACTTGTCCTATTAAGGACCAACTAAGTACTGATTAAATTTTGGGGCTAGATTATAGAATACCCGTCCATTTCTGATACTGTTTATTTTGGGGGGATACGGTGATACGCAGTGAATGAAATGATGTAATTATTCGAGTGTTTGGGTTTTGTAAATAAAGGGACTGGGTAAATATTAAGTTTCAATGATACGGGGATACACAGTGAAGGAAATTACGTACTTTATATTTGAATGTTTCGGTATCAATAAATAAACGGGGAATCGTTAATCAAATCATTAATCTATATTCTGTTTTCAATACTAAAGGGTTATATAAAATATATTGTATTTCTCGTTCTCAATAAACCCCGGACAAAATATTACTCCTGCATATTGTATTTCTCATTCTCAATAAACCCCGCACAAAATATTACTCATATATTGTATTTCTCGTTCTCAATAAACCCCGCACAAAATATTACTCATATATTGTATTTCTCGTGCTCAATAAACTTCGCACAAAATATTACTCATATATTGTGTTTCTCATTCTCAATAAAACCTGCACAAAATATTACTCGTATATTGTATTTCTCGTTCTCAATAAATAATATTTACTCAGTTCCCTTTCTCAAAACGTCTCAACACAACCTAGGTTACGTCATTTTACTCACTGTGTGCCCTAGTATCCCTGTATAATTGAAAAATATTACTTACCCAGTGCCTCTCTCACAACGTCTAAACACAACCTACATTACATCATTTTATTGACTGCGTACCCCCGTATCATTGAAATAAAATAGTTACCTGTTCTCCTCTTAAACTACTCGAATAATTACGTCATTTTAATGGCTGCGTATCCCCGTATCATTGAAATAAAATAGTTACCCATTCTCCTCAACTACTCGAATAATTACGTCATTTTAATGACTGCTTATCCCCCGTATCATTGAAATATAATAGTTACCCATTCTCCTCTTAAACTATTTAAATAATTACGTCATTTTAATGACTGCATATCCCCGTACCCCCATATCATTGAAATATAATAGTTACCAATTCTCCGTTTTAAACTACTCGAGTAATTACGTCATTTTAATGACTGCGTATCCCTGTATCATTGAAATATAATAGTCATCCATTCTCCTCTTAAACTATTTAAATAATTACGTCATTTTAATGACTGCATATCCCCGTACCCCCATATCATTGAAATATAATAGTTACCAATTCTCCGTTTTAAACTACTCGAGTAATTACGTCATTTTAATGACTGCGTATCCCTGTATCATTGAAATATAATAGTCATCCATTCTCCTCTTAAACTATTTAAATAATTACGTCATTTTAATGACTGCATATCCCCGTACCCCCATATCATTGAAATATAATAGTTACCAATTCTCCGTTTTAAACTACTCGAGTAATTACGTCATTTTAATGACTGCGTATCCCTGTATCATTGAAATATAATAGTCATCCATTCTCCTCTTAAACTATTTAAATAATTACGTCATTTTAATGACTGCATATCCCCGTACCCCCATATCATTGAAATATAATAGTTACCAATTCTCCGTTTTAAACTATTCGAATAATTATGTAATTTTATTCACTGCATATCCCTGTATCCCCCAAAAGCAAACACTATCAAAATTCAAAAGTGGCCGGGTATTCTATAATCGCTCCAGTTTTGGTTCGGTTTGGATATTTGCTGCCTCAGCATAATGCATGAGCCAAAGTGAATGTGCAATTAAGGCATGTTTAATAATTAATAGTTTTCACAAAAAGCTTGTTTGTCTGTTAGAACAGTTGAAAATTTATATTGTGTCATTCTACTGATCATGTTTTATTTTCACCTTGGTCAAATTTAGCAAAATTTCTCCTACTCGTGCAGGCTCATAATGTCAGCAGACATGCGAGCCTGTGGCAGGTTATAGATTCATATCTCACTATTTATGAATACTAACCGTAATCCCCACCCTAACCGCTAACCCTAACTCATAAACAGCAAGACATGAATCTATATCCCTGCGGTAAAATGAAAATGCGAGCCTGTGGTACTGGGAGAAAACTTGCTTAATATGACCAATGTGTTTCCCCTGGTTATTTTTTAGTTTTAAAGCTCTGATTTTCAAGCAAGGGATCTTGCTAGCCACATAGAAATTTGCACCCTAATTGAAGATCCAGCAAATTCTAAAGCAGTGAGGGAAACTTTGTCAACAACATATGGTGTCAATGGGTTAAGTGTGTTGCACTCAGTGGCACACTTTGATGCATGCAAATGTCTCCCTGAAGATATCATGCATGTATTGTTTGAAGGAATTGTCCCATCTGAAACCAAATTGTCGCTGAAATATCTTATCGATGAGAGGAGATGCTTCAATTTGACAAGGTTGAACAAACTTCTCAAGAGCTTTGACCTTGGTTACATGAATAGGAAAAACAGGCCAACCTGCCTAACCAGAGAAAGCATCAATGCCACCAAGGAAGCAAAATTGAAACAAAGAGGTATCTATGATCTATTATTCACAATTACTGTATCCATATAGTCTATATAGCCACAATATTTATATGTTTCATTGCTACTGATGCTTCGGTGTTTTTCGACATATCGATATAAATGTTTTGATAGTTTTGTTTTCAATGTGGAAACACCATAATTTTTCAAGTGGAAACACACAGCTCATCATTGAGCTCAATATTGATATTATTGAGCTCAATGAATGAGCCAATATAAAGGCTATATAAAAGGTTTTAAATTATAAAGGCTATATAAAAGGTTTTAAATTGGGAATTAAATTATCCAC